GGTGCTGCTATTTTTCTAGAATAGGTTTTTTTCTGGTTGGTCACAGAGTTATTCCTTGCCCTCCTGCAAATTTATACATGACATAATTCACTAAAAAGTGAACTTACAAGTTTATATTTTAGTTGTACTCAAAAATGAGTTTCCCTTTTGCTGCCATTCCAGCAGAGCTGACCCAAGTCCAGCACCACCGATGCGGTTGCCACTCACAGTGGGACAGAAGTGCATGCAGGTCCCTGGGGCAGCTGCTGGGTAGAACTTTTGGCATGTTTTGAACATTTTCCCTCAAAGTAGAACAGAGGCTTAATATGTGTCACAGGAAACCAGCAGGTAAACTGTATGCAACTGGCCACTGAAGTCTCCCAGTTATAGAACATTTTATCAATAATTTACTTATTCCTATTTATATACTCTGTAAAGAGTATGTAAAGGATAATGAAGGTTGGCTTTTAAGAGAAGTAGCTAATTTTATAAAATAGCATCTTCACGGTTAAGGAAAGCAATCACCTTTTGTAATGTATTACATTATTAATTAACTATTACTGCTCTGGGGTAATAGGTGACTTTAGTCACTTGTATTGGAAAGTCCCAGAAACAATCTTTTGGGTTTTCCATGAATGAGTGAGAAAGTACATCGTCGTGGAAGTATTAATCATTTGTGGACGTCTCATTTTAAAGCTTATAATTTGGAGAAATGTAGTTAATATTTTTGAGGTGAACATGTATTTGTAACCTGAAACAAGGTGATTGTTAAATGTCACTAAGGTTTGATTTCAGGTCACATAGCACAGGTGTCCCATGTGCTGTATTCAAGGTGTTTTGGAAATGCCTTAGACCAGTTTTTTTAGAGTTACTTAGAAGTACAATGTTAAAATATTCTCAGAAAAATTTCTGTTTGTAAAAGCAATGACTGAACTGGTTTTAGGTCGCAATTTCAATCATGCCAGATTCATTCTTTTCATGACTGCTGGATGGTTGGCTTCCTGGCTAGTGGTTAGTTACACACCTCTCTAGGCCAGTAGTTGGTTCATGGTGCCCTTGCTCAATGTCAGAGTCCTTTGACATTGTGATCTAGCACTGCTTCCTTGCTGTGCTTTACATGTTCAGCCCTTCCCTGTCCCCTGTACATCTTCCCCCATGGAAAGGGGGACTCTGCTGATTTCATCTAATCTAAACTCAGCCAGTCAAGTTAGATGCTGCAAACCTCACTAGCTAAATCTGAGTTGTTAAAAAATAAATTTCCAAATACTAACGTACTGTGATCCCTTAGGTATACAAATTTGATCGAATAAAATAATACATGTAAAAATGTCAAAACAAGGTGTCTGGACAGTAAAAGGTAGTCTTTGTTGTTGTTCCTAGCATGTCGCTGTTTTCTATTTTGTCAGACACTGTCATTGCTGTATAGTGCACTTCATTTGGAGACCCAGGTCCCAGGGGCATGAAGCATTTAGAGGTGTGGCTGTTGTAGCATGTGAGCCACGGTCCCCAGGGGACACAGTGGTCTGTGGAGAGCCTCGACCACTGAGGCTTTGAAATGCTGCCAAGTATGGGGTTCTGTGTGCAGCCACCTGTGGCAAGGGGCAGACAGGGTATGAGGTTGGAAAGACGCTACCTGTAGTAGACATGGCGTCTGCACCAGAGCTCCTTCCTAGCTGAGGGGTTGCAATGCTGATCTTCGAGTTCTGGTGGACTATATAGGATTATAATGCAGTGGGTTCTTTCCTGGCATGTAAAGCTTTTTGTGCAAGTTGAGGGCTTTTGAGGGGTTTTTTTTTGTTTGTTTGTTTTTGGATTTTTTTTGAGCTTTTGACTATAATCCTTGTTTTAATTAAAAGCACTAATTTACTGTTTACCACATTTATTGAATAATGACTAGAGGGCTGTAAAGGAGGACATTTATACAGCAACATCATTAAATTGTTGGTTGCCAACTCTTAGTATAGAAACCTGATTGACTTTCCCCATCTTGACTTTCCCCCTCCTCTCACCTTTCCATATTTCATCAATGGCATCACCTCCAAGTGACTCGTCTAGTAGGACAATGTGGCATGTGAGACCTCCCCCCCCCATGCTCAGAAGTGGTGGCCACAGAGGTCCACTCAGGGGGTTGAATGTACATGTAAGGAGCACTCGTCTGTTTACCCTTCCTGAGAAGACTTTTGAAACTCAAGTTTACAAAACAATTGCACTTGAATTCTTAAGTGCTATCCCAAACCTAC